TGCTGCAGGAGTGCCCTCAGGAACTGTCATGAGCTTCTTGCGGTGGCACATCACAGAGCGCTCTTGAACGTTGCACTCACAGCGGGATGGACAGCCTGTGGCGGAGCCAGATAGCACGATGCCCAGCATCAGGATCAGAATGGGCTGCCAGCAAGCCACCAGGTAGCTGTGCCCAGTCGCTTCCCCGGCCGCCATCTTATCAGTTACCTGGGGAGACAGAGAAAAACATTTAAAAGAAATCACATGACTGTCACTGATGATTTCATGTTTTTAGCATTGTCTTTATAATTTATTGCTATAACATTTGATGTCACTGTCTTGCCGGGGCTCCAGTGAAAGAGAGGCTATAAACCTCATTCTGATTACCCTGGAAAAATGAGGGTTAAATATTAATAAAAAAAACTATTATTTTGCAAAATCCTATCTTTAGACAAGAAGAAAACTCATTGCAGATTGTAGAACATTAAAATACATCTACCCAAGGAAGGCCAGTAGGAGAAAATTTAAGTTAGGCTGTATCCGGTATGACAGTGTTTGATATCACTAAAATATGGACCAATGTTCAAATATGCAGTTTTCTGCTAAATTCAGCGATTCCACATCACATGTGGTGAGATTGAAGGACGGCAGTATGAACTTGTATTGAAACACTTTCCTTTGTCCACTGTGGCTATTTTTTGCCAGCCGGTTAGTCCAACAATTGTAAGTGCCTAAAGGACATTAGTCTCATATGACACAATCCCTAACAGAACAGAGAATATGCTGCTGCACTATTCATGTCACAAACACAAGATAAATAGAGGTGGCCTGATAGGAGGAATAAGGTATGTGTTTACAGTTTTGAATACTGCATCATTCACGTTTCTGCACAAAGCTTCAAAAGGTATGCAAGTATCTTATATTGCTGATATAGAATGGGACGTAGTGATCCTAGATAGAAAATTAAAGGCCAAATTATTCTAGTAATCTACATCTTGCTCTTACCCTCTGTGTCTGATGTAGAATGCTGAACACCATTTCCAATGCACCCCTCACACACAATCTATCAGTCTGTGTGTCACACTGATATGGAGTGAAGGGGTATATCTTGCAAGGGAATTAACAGCATTTTTCAGATGGTAATCCAGTTCATCTTGTGTCACATACACATATGCTGAGCACATTTGTAGTTTTCACTGGTACCATAAAGCCTTTATTCACTTCTACTCCTTTGTTTCTACTTCTAGCCTGAATTTGCTGTGTGAGTAAAAAAGAAAAAAAAGAAGAAGAGGAAGTAGGGGGTGGAGCAGCAATAGCAGGAGGACACAGTCAAAGATGGATGGCGGCAAGTGTGATGTATGTGCTGTGGCTGTCACTTGACTCATGCAATCTTTTACGATAAAATATAGACCGTACACCACCAGGGAATTAGATACAGAGAGATAAATATAGGAACAAAAACAAACAAAAAACATTTAATTCCAATGCCATCTGTTACTGCGCCTCTACCCCTTTTGTTAACAAAGCAATTAACAATTTATTTTATGACAACAAAATATCACGTTGTAGGAAAAAAACAAAACAAACATGAAGTAACATTAGAGTGTGAATTGAACCTGTGAGGATCATTAATGGTACAATTATCAGACACTGACAAAGATACTATTGAATGGTGAGTGAGTCCTGTACTAAAGGGCAGATGGATTTAAAGAGTAATGATTTAGGTTTTAATCTCTTAAAGGATGTTATTTCCAACATTTCAAATACACAGGGTTGGATTGTAATTCACCACCATAATGAAATGTGCAGGAAAAATACAATGAAACAAAATTCTTCATGCCTAATTTAAACTCATCTAAGATGTGTTTCTGGGGTCTCTGTGCAATGGCTGTTGTCACAATACACAGAATTTTACCACTGGTATACAGTCTCATCTTTTGCTCTAAATTTGCCTTTCAAGTTGACTGCTAACAGGTCACATGGTGCTTCTTCTTCCCAATTCACAGAAAGGTGGTGCTTCACCAGATTTCATATATCATATTACATGTGGCAGATTGAGGCTGTAGGGGAAGGGAGGGAAATCTGTGATATTATGGGAGACAGTTAATTATGGGGTGAAATGTTACTACCATTGTGCTCAGCAATAAACTTTTTCCCTCTGGACCTTTGGACAGCTGGACATCACACTGATCAAATTGGGAGGGTTTATGTGCTAGATTTACTTCACTCAGTTTCATTTTATTCCTTCCAACGTCAAAGTTCAGATTGGGGATTTGATGGCACCATCTGTAATAAATTGAAACCAAGTGATTTCACAACAGACAAAAATGATAGTGCAGCCTAGATCAGAGACCTGCATCAGAACCTGCTGTGATTCTTTCCCCCTCCAGCCATACTTAATCATTCTTATTCCTTAACCTGCATTGATCAATTCAGTGCTGACCTCTGGGAGACTGAGTGGTGTTGGGCATTGTAAGTGTGTTGAGCTCTGCAAGACACTTAAGAAGGAGCAGTGGCCCTTTCACAACCTTACTTCCATTTGTTGCCCTCTATCATTAGGCTATCACATATTGATATCAGTCAGTGAGATGCTATTATGTCCAAATCTATTACCACTGACACTGAAGCCCAATCAACAAAATGATGATCTTAATCCCTTGTTGGTAAAGCTCCAAGACTGCAACTTCAGCGGGTTATGGAGCCCAGCAGGCTTCTTAACGAGCTTAGCATTCGGTTTCAATTCAATTCAAACTCAATTTCCGGACACAGCAAATGGGCCATCCATAGCAGCCAGATACAATAAAATACAACAAAATGCACCAGATATAATAATTAAAACAGACATTCCTCTACACATGGGCATAGTCCCTTCAACAACACTGCACTTGATTACTCAATCATCACAGTCCCTTCAAAACAACACTGCACTTGATTACTCAATCACAAGACATTAGATTACCTTTAAAAGCTGTTATAAAGAGGCAATGTTACTAAAGTTTTTACAGTCATCCCTTCAAAATGTGCTCCCATGTTTCTTTCATGCCAGAGCAGCTTCGGCATTTATTGTTCATGTCTTCAGCATTAAATATGCAGGGAAACAAGTAAAGTCAGGGACACATCAAAATGAAGAATGCCATCCACACGTGAACACTTTCCGCTCTGTTTTTATTAATGATCCCGTGTTATCATTCCCTTCCAGGCATGTAGTCTAAATGCACTTCCTCATTTCGATCCAGACTCCAGTGAGCTCACAGAGAATTACATTAATTGAGCTGAAATAAATGGGGGTGTGCTTCTAAAAGAAATTAATGTGGTTGAGAAGTAAGACAATAAATGAAGACCCACTGGGCTACAACCAGTAATAACTAGATCAATAACTGGTGAGATTAATGCCTTCATGACTACATCCACTGGGATCCTGAAGATGTTGGCACATGAATCACCATCTCATCAGAATAATCTATGAGGATTAATCCATCACACAGTTAGATTACCTCTTGTCCAAGATGCTGTCATTATGTCACCTTTCAAATCTCTCAAATCAATTTTGAGCATTCATGTTTCAAAGGACAAGTGCATCACATGACTTCAATCAACTGTCTCTACCTGGGTTTTCTCATACTATTTTAATTTTTTTTGTGTGTGTGCCTTTGTATTACTTACATCATGAGGACCGAAACCTGTTAACACACTGACACTGTGGAGACTCGGCTATTCAGTGATTTCCTTGTGGGGACTGGCTTCTGGTCCCCCCAAATATCCAAAACAAATACAACAATGTGTGTGTGTATATGTATATATATATATATATACACATCTTCATGACTACATCCACTGGGATCTTGAAGATGTTGGCACATGAATCACCATCTCATCAGAATAATCTATGAGGATTAATCCATCACACAATTAGATTACCTCTTGTCCAAGATGCTGTCATTATGTCACCTTTCAAATCTCTCAAATCAATTTTGAGCATTCATGTTTCAAAGGACAAGTGCATCACATGACTTCAATCAACTGTCTCTACCTGGGTTTTCTCATACTATTTTAATTTTTTTTGTGTGTGTGCCTTTGTATTACTTACATCATGAGGACCGCAACCTGTTAACACACTGCCACTGTGGAGACTCGGCTATTCAGTGATTTCCTTGTGGGGACTGGCTTCTGGTCCCCCCAAATATCCAAAACAAATACAACAATGTGTGTGTGTATATGTATATATATATATATATATATACACATATACACACACACATTGTGTGTATACATTCATCTTTGGTCTTGAAAATATCTGAATATAGTTTATTTGTATCAAAAGCCTAGCAGTGTTACAATAAGCACAACCCTATTCAAAAAAGTCAAGCCATGATTTCTGTATCATTCTGAGTCTTTGGTAGTTTTTCATTTAGAGGAATAAATATCTTTTTAACTCACTGAATTTATGGAAATCCCGTGGCTCCATGTTCAACAAGTTTCATACACCTACACTGTACTTGTACTAAGTTGTTCTAAATTTGCT